TTCTTATCACCGCTGCAATACATACACACAAAGACACATCCCAGAATGGCCGGCAAATCCAGACCGAATTTGAAGTTCACGCTTCATAAGGAACCCGAGCCGGAAATGTAGGTGTCCAATTTTGGTTAATACCCCTTCAATCTCTTCACATAATAACAATATTATTTATTTGCAGTGTGCCACCACGGAATTTAGACTCGAGTACCACAATTAAAATTGGTGATCGAACCTTCGAAATTAATGCTGACAGCTTAGAGAAAATCGCAGATTTGGGTCGTGGTGCATATGGCGTTGTAGAAAAAATGCGACACGAACAGACTGGCACGGTTATGGCTGTAAAACGTATCACAGCAACTGTAAATCGAAAAGAACAAAAACGCTTACTAATGGATTTAGATATTTCCATGCGTTCGAGCGATTGTCCCTACACAGTGCATTTTTATGGAGCACTCTTTCGAGAAGGTGACGTTTGGATATGTATGGAAGTAATGGATACAAGCTTAGACAAATTCTATCCGAAGGTGTTCAAAAACAATTTAACTATGGAGGAAAGCGTTTTGGGAAAAGTACGTACATAGCTAAAATGAGTAATGATATTTTTAAGGAATTTATTGTATTGAATTTTTATTACAGATTGCCATGTCAGTCGTGAATGCACTACACTACCTGCACGCACAACTTAAAGTTATTCATCGCGATGTAAAGCCGTCAAATATTTTGATCAATCGCAGTGGTGAAGTGAAGATGTGCGATTTTGGTATCTCTGGTAAGTAATGTAAACAAACGGTTGCTTATGACTGACACGTATTATTACGCAACCATTGCGTATAAAGAAACTAAGTAAAAGTAATTAGCATTCCGAATTGCTTTGCATAAAAAAACTTACTTTAAATAATTCTTTTGACAGGTTACTTGGTTGATTCTGTTGCTAAAACGATCGATGCTGGCTGCAAACCATACATGGCACCCGAGCGAATTGATCCAACAGGCAATCCTGCTCAATATGACATACGTTCTGATGTCTGGTCGCTGGGTATCAGTATGATTGAAATGGCAACTGGCCGGTTCCCTTATAACTCCTGGAAAACGCCTTTTGAGCAGTTAAAACAGGTATTTTTGTAAACTGATTGTGCAATGTTGCTCTTTAATCATCAACAAATGTTTTTAGGTCGTGAATGAGAGTCCACCACGTCTTGAACCTGGCAAGTTTTCACCCGAGTTCGAAGACTTCATAATTAAGTGTTTACAGAAAAACTATACAGCGCGTCCCAATTATGAACAACTGCTTAAACACGATTTTATTGTTGAGCACATAGAGCGCGATACAGATATTTCGGAATTTGTGTCGAGAATATTGGATTTGCCGGAATAATCTGTTCATGCGCGAGCAGTATATTTTCACTAAAGCTTCAATGCATCTAAATTGTAAACTAAAATAGTGGTTAAGTAAACGATTAAACAAAAGCGATTAAATTTCCTTGAGGCCTTCACAGAAATTT